TAAAGCGCCTTTGACCCTTTGTAGTGTGTAACACAATTCATGGGGGGTGATAGGGCCGACAAGCCGTCGATATGTATTTATTTTAACATACATTCCGGGTATTTTCCTGCACCTCAACAACCTTTATATTAATAGATTCATTTTCTCACGCTTGAAAGGAAAAAAAAGAAGAAAAATAATAGCTTGATGCACTTTGGAGGCAGATCCTGTCGCCACCGTTCCCATCAAATTGTAATTCCTCACGTACGCTCATACACATAGGGAATTTCCTGCCCTGAATATCTTGTTTTGCAGGTGTCGCAGTAGTGCTGTACTCTTGGTATTCACGATGAGATGGTAAATATTGAGACAATCCGTATCCATTACCAAGGTAGTAACCAACAAGTTCCTGTTCAAATTACTTGGCTATCGTAAGGGTGGATGCTTCTGTCCAGCGTGCCCCGGAGATATGAGTTTTACTTCCAGCCACTTTGCTTGTATCAGTAACTTAATAGGACATATTCTGGTGGGCCCTAATCTACCGCCAATTAGACCGAACTTACTACAACAGCTACAGACTCGGCATGACTACCACGGCATATGGACTCTCCACGAACATCTCGAGAGCTATCTTGGCCGTGAACAGCGGGCATCAATTTACCCCCATCCTGTACTGGTCAATAGATTGATGTTCCCCATACCCCGTCTCATCACTCTGCTGAAGTACTATTTTCAGATTTCGGTACGGACCACATCTTCGAGACTTCTGGTACCGCCAATGATACTTTCCGATATGGCCAACCAGGATATTCCAAAAACATTAGTCGTGTCGTGTGGTATCGGACAGCCTCCAACTTCGCTCCGAAACAGAATTGCGGATGACAACCTCTGTACCCTTCTTGGTATCACGTTCAAAAATACTCATACTGACTCAGCCCAGATTACCGCTACGAGTGTGGACCAGCTTTATTTTACAAAATGGAACCCAAGTTTTAGCTCCCACCCAATGGTGGAAGTATTTTGTACCCATCGTCGCGAATTAACGCATCATGTGTCCTCCATCGTTGCATCACTCGCCCCGAGCTTCTCGCGGCAGTTCGACAATCTTAACTTCCCTTCAATCTTCCCTGAACCTCACCAACGAGTATGAAGCTTGATGTACATGTAGATATATATTAATTGACCCCAAATTGAATTAAAAGTATTATCTCTACCGTATTAGTAGAACAGTTTGCTATCGTATCAATAGGTACACTGTAAGTATCCTGATTCTCCTGGCTCCAGATAGTTCCTGCGAGGGGATTGGACAGCAGTCGTCGACTCCTAATTACTGTCAGAGCCACACTATTATATCCTGTTTCAGCGAGCAATGTGCACATTAACGTATTGAACGAATAACAGAATTCATTAACGTAATAGCAACGTAAAGAACAGGATCCGTGCGACCAACTCTGCACTTCATTGGGCTGAATTATTTCATAATGTAGGCCCCATTGTTTGAAGTGTTGCGAGTCCGCGTCGGGTGTTACAGAGCCCAACGTGGCGGTGTCGGTTGCGCTATCTGTTGCGTAGCCCGACGTGCCATTGCCTGATCCTGTTTCAGCTAGCAATGTGAACATTAACGTATTGAACGAATAACAGGATTCATTAACGTAATAGTAACGTAAAGAACAGGATCCGTGCGAACAACTCTGTACTTCACTGGGCTGAATTATTCCATAATGTTCACCCCATTGTTTAAAGGGTTGCGAGTCCGCGTCGGGTGTCACAAAGCCCAACGAGGTGATGTCGGTTACGCTATCTGTTACATAGCCCGACGTCATCTAGACCGTGCCATTGTCTTGAGTCGAGCCAACTCCATTACATTGGAAATTCACGAAATTCGGGAAGTGGTAGCTGAAAAAGCAAAATAATCTCCGTATCTTCCTGTACATTTGCTATCATCCCCAAGTGGTCATCTCGGTCGATAACCCCTTCAATAATTTGTTTGGCCTCAGCCAACGTAGAAATCGATTGTTAAGTTTCAAATACTAGTCAGGCTAGCCTAACACGGACTTCTGTCTTAGCTTTAACACCCGGTGCCAGATCAGTGGAAAACGTTGTTTATACCTTAACCCTGAGCAAAGGCAATTGTCGATGAATTTTAAGCAGTAGTTTCAACAATCGAAGACAGGTTTCCTTGTCCACGTAGTATATTCATTCCTCGTAGTAACAAAATTATAAAGCTAATTTGATTTTAGTTCACTTAGCCTGTTGTAAAGTACGTAACGTAATAAATACAGTAGCTTGGTCACATAAAATGTAGTCATGTAGCATCTAGGGACCAGATTATCAAAAAGCCAATCCAAATCCCAAACCCCAGAATAATCAAATACTGAGTTTTGGAAATATGATTGGAATATTTCTGTTATTAGAGTTATCAGATATATTAGCGGTAGAACCGGTAAGCTATACCGGGACTCCCACGTGCGAGAGAAACACTCAAGTAAATCTCGAGTCTAGTAAAAACACAGATAAAAACTCAGTTCGGTTCTCTCACACTAGGGACTTTTCCTAGCTGAGATAACCGTACTTGAGAAGAGGTCTATTGTATTCCTTTGTCTCATATCCTTCAGCTACTCTCCATACTCTACATTTTTTTAATACAATATCCTTATAGACAAGTCAACTAGCTCAAGGCTGTGCAAAGGCTACCGCAAGTAATAGTATAGTCAATAACTAAAATACCGCAGTAGAAGAATAACTTTATTTCCATTAAAAAACTAAGACAGCTGAGCAATGCTGAGGCAAGACTGAATAATTCCGTGAAAGCAAGAGCAGATACACGGGTAACCACAGCGTACAAGAACCGGAGTGGACAAGGAGCACCCTACGGTACAAGAAGAGGGAGAATCATCCTCGGGTAATTGTTCCCAGAAGTGGAAGTAAGCCACTAAGGGTTGTGCTCTAGGGTAACATTTAGGCCAGGTGACCCAGAGTGTGTGTACAACTGTAACGTACGGGAACGTGGTGCTCTATGACACTCAGGTACGAGTAACGCGTTCAGAACCATCGGAATAGTTGCAGTGCACTTAAGAACGTGTTCCAGTGAAAACTTGTGAAGTAAGGAGGCTAAAACAGTGAAAAAAGGGAAGAGCTGTCACAATGATCATTTAATCAAGGTTAGAGATTTTTCTAAGTTTTCGGACAAGAAAATATCCTGGTGTCACAATCACAAAAAGACACCATACCACCTCACTCAGTTATCATATACAGAACAATAGCAGTAAACATATGACACAAAACAGCTCGTTTAGAACATCTGCGCAAACATAGACACAAGTAGACACGCACAAGACAATAGTGGCACACAAAGACAATGATAAATCATTCACACCTCACTAAACACAACAAAACATAATGAGAATCACAGATATTGTAAGATGCACAAGCACCAAATATCAATTTCAAGAGCATTCACAAGCATTTCGGTCATCAAATCTCAGATTCGAGATTGACAGAAACAAAACGAAAAGACAGAGCATCAAAAATACAAGTCTAGCTTTCAGAAGTAAATGTTCTCCCAAAAATTAAAATCGAATGCGATGAGCATACGAATACTTGGTATGATGACGGGTTTGCAAAGACCCCAAGAAGCATTTACATATGAATACAGCTTTCAAAGTAATTGGCCTGCCAAGAATACGATTGAATGCGATGAGCATCCAAAAACATCGTAAGGACCGGTCTTAACTAACAAAAGCACAGAATCACAAGATAGCATCTATTACTACCTTTTCAAGAACAAAGAGTCCACAATAGAACTCATAACACACATATAATCTATTCGCTATACTAGATACAAGCACAAACTAGCACATAAGGAAGCCAACGTTCATCACGACAGTTTGCACAAGCATTCAAATCATATCGATTGATATTAGATTATATACACACATATACGACAAGATATCGATATTAAGAATAAACATAAGACAAGGAATCACGAGTAAGAACTGCATAGCAATTACTAGACAAGTGATAATAAACACATACAATTGACAGGGAACATAGACAAGTGACCGACTTACTGAAATCAGATCTGGCATAATCAATGCCACACAACGATCAATAAAAGAAAGAAGTCTAAGTAAAAAAGGGGGCACAAGAATAGTTCTCATTGTCAAGACATTCACACAGATACATCAAGAATGTTAGCAACGATAAAACCTGATTACTACGCACGGTATTAACAGTATCGAAATGCTACACACCATTGTACATCGAAAAGTAATGGCAGAAACCATTACAAACACAGACTTCCTGCAATAGGAACAGAACAATAACAGGGTACTAGATACGCACAAGACCTCGACAACAAAGATCCAATACATGGAATCGAATGTCACAACAAGGTTGAGGACCCACAGTAAATGGAATTCGCACACATAAGATTCCGACCAAAGCAATCACGCAGGACACACATAAGCCCCGCACATAGTTGATGCAAGCACGGTATAACTTCATAACAATTAAGAAGTATAACCATCACGCACACGCTTAGTGTAGACGTCTAGTACACAGGAATATAAGACCTACAGAGTATATAAGACCTACAGAGTGACAATGACACATGTACACACGGGCAATGATATAAAGTGGGGTCAAATTGAGTGAACATTCCGACAAAGTATAGTCTATACAAAACAGGATATATCCGACAGAGTCACAGTTCGATACAAGAACCATACTGTTCGGTACGATACCGAACATCAAGAGGTGACGTCAACAGGACCGAACTTCTTCGGTGACATCACTAGCACCGAACATCTCATTGAGAACGCACATGAGGAATTATTTTCTCAGATGACGGAATAAGCATAAGTGACGTCACACGTGACGGAATAAGCTTGACTAACAAACACAGTTTTTAACCCTCATAAATACAGGGAACAAAGCAACAAGCTACCGTATTATAGGGTTTCAAAACATAACCAGAGTCTTTATTAATAATCCACTAACTAAAACGCAGACTTCTGAAAATGCCAACAGCAACCAGAGCAGGCGTGTACGGTGGGGAGGAAGGGAGTGAAGGCGCGGATGACGTGGGAGTCAGCCCAATGGGGGGGCCAAGCCCAGGCAATAGTTCGGGCCAACCTACACCGGCGGGGGTACCCATCGTAGCGTCAGCAATGCGTCTAGAAATAGACAAGAATATCTGTCAATGCAATCATGTTATGGTGAGTCGGTTTGTGTCCAAGTTGGAACAAACAGCACCGGTGCCCATACCAACTCTACACAAGATGAGGGTAGGCATCTATGATCAACAGCCAGAGCGCCGCATGCCACTAGTGGATGCAGAGCTCAGACGACGATATGACCATGCGATCAATGACTGTGGTGATGATGAAGAAGATCAACTCATCCAAATAAGTCTATACATTAGTGAGTTAGAGCTCATGCGTTCACGCTTGGGCGATCAGATAAATGAGCCACCACTTGCGAAACTACTGAAGACTTCTGAATTTCCTAAAATGCCTAAAGATAGTTACTTTAGAATGGAAAACTGCGAAGACATTTTAGAGTTCACTACACAGTGTAGTGACATATTCTTAGCAAAGTCCATGCCTTTGTGTCAGTACCCAGCATTAGTAAGAAGCTTACTGGATTCTACTGATGCAACGGAGAAAACAAAATCAGTACTCAATAACTTAAGAGACTATGAGACACATGCGACTAAGCACATCAAAGATCCTGAGCAATTCAATAGAATCATTATTGATCGACTTAGACCACATCCAGTAGACTATCTGTTGGAGAAGTTTCTCAATGACTTGCAGAATAAGAAAATGAACGTCGAAGTGCGCACAGAGCGTGTGCACAAGACAATGGCGATGTTAGAGGAGCGTTACCGCGACTCAGACAAGGAACCCATACACTTCCAAATCCTCAAAGTACAAAGGTACCAGGCACTTAAGTACTATGGACTGCAACCAGTGGTAGATACCCTCATCAAAGGAGATAAGCAACCAGATGGGAGTGAAGGGCACTTGTCAGACATAGAACACACCAAGTTGCATACTATGACTGAGACACACATAAGAAGGCGGCTGTGACACAAGCAGAGCGTATGTTGAGGGATCAGGTGCGTGCACAAAACAAGCGCAACAACGCACAGACAACCACATCAGTTGAGGAAAACTCTACGAACGCTAATAAACGGCACAAGCCAGACAATGGTGCACACAACCAGAACAAGCAAGGGGGGGCAGACACAGAAGAAGAAGGGAGCACGTGAAGAGCGTGCATGCCCCTACTGCCTGGTAATGCCATCCCCACATCGGTACAGCGAATATCCCGAGAAGAAAGCAAATCAAGCCAAGAAGGCTGAGCAGCGAGCCAAGAAAGATGTGCAGAAAGCAATACTGTCCATTACATCTGGCAAGGTGGAAGACATCACAGAAAGTGATGAGCACTGAAAACACTGGTGGGCGGAAGCAAACATGATTGACCTGGCTGACAGACTCAATGTATTTACAGATAAAGAAACTTTGTTAATAAATGCATATGATATAAATTATCAACCTTTATCTTTACTTCCCGCACCACGAGACCAACGTTTACACATTGACATACAAATCAATAGCAATACATACAATACACTAGTAGACTCGGGCGCACAACGCTCATGCATGGACAAAAGTATAGTATCAGAACTATATCTTTCTGTTAGAGCGCAACCGAGATATATACAACTAGCACAAACAGATGCAAGAATACAACGCACTGGATCAACAGAAGTTTGTGACATTAACTATGGAGGTAGGAAGACCTCTCAGTGTTTTGAAGTATTGGACTTACCTGACAAAAAGACACCAATACTTCTAGGTATGGACATTCTACCATACATAAGTATATGCATAGCAGGGTTAATCAATCCACTTAAACCCACAGATTCAAAATGAGAATCACTCCTCACACCACATGAAGAGGACCCAGAGCATGAACAAGAAGGTTTCAGAGAGTCGCTTACAGACCTTTTAGATACCAATGCGAATATACCTCCTGATGTATATTGCAACCTACCAGGCTCCACAGTCACAGTACCCGCAAATGGAATCAACGTCAGACAAATGAGGCACGCTAAAGTCAATTTTGTACCTCACAAATATATCCACAAACGGGTGAGAATGTGCAAAGGTGGCTTAAGGATGGTCACATATACAAACGTGACACACCCACAACGGCGAACCTACCGTTGATATCAACAGGTGAACATGACCAAACAGGCCTCCTCAAGAAAGTAAGAACATGTCTAGACTTACGTGAGATCAATTATCAATATGAGCAAGATAAATTTGTGTTACCGAAAATAAAGGAAGTATTATATAACCTCCAAAGAGCACAATTCTTTTCGAAGCAAGATCTTACAGGAGGATTTCACAATTTCCTGGTAGACGAAGCAAGCCAACACTTCTTCACATTCTCGTGGAGTGGAACGCAATATTCATTCAAGTCCGCGCCGTTTGGACTACACTCACTCACAGCATAAATTTAAAGAGTCATGGCAAATCTGCTCATAGACATCAAAGGAGCGCAAGTGTATGTAGACGACATAGTCATTGCAAGTCTTACGGAGGAAAAAACACCGCAAAACAGTTCGTGAAGTAATCAAGCGACTGAATGGAGCAAACTTCCGACTCAATCACAACAGGTGTGCCTTCGCGGTCAAAGTGGTCAACATACTCGGTGTGAAAGTCACCACACAGGGAATCAAAGCAGACCCTGAGAAACAGAAAAGAATGATGGACTGGCCACTACCCAGAACAAAAAGAGATCTGCACAAAGCAATGGGACTAGCACATTACATGCGAGGACATGTCCCTAACTTTGCCCACACAACGAAACACTTTCGGAACCTAATGAAAGGAAAAATGAACCAGAACATATCCATGTTATGGACTCCGGAACTCAAACAGAAGTGGGAAGAACTCAAAGAAGCCATCGCCTGTTCAGCGACGCTAGCATACCCTGTTGACGGGGTACCGTTTCAAATAATGAAGAATGCTAGTGGCTATGGCATAGGAGGATGTTTATTTCAAGTCATCGATGTAGTTAGAAGAGAAATACTCTACTTCTCAAAAGACTTGAATCCAGCACAACAACGCTATGGCACAAATACCAAAGAGCTACTAGCACTAGCATACAGCCTGGAACATTTCTCAGAATACATCAAAAGGGGGGACATAACACTGTGGACAGATCACAAAGCGCTCACGCAAATGAACAGTCAACAGACGTTACACCCAATGCTAGCCAAATGGAGAGCAAAAACGTTCCACCACCCTTTCTCCATCATACATGTCCCGGGCAAGGACAACCAGATGGCAGACAGGTTGTCGCGTCTCCATAAAGATACTTTTAGTACGAAAGAGTCAAAAGTAACAAGCGAATGAGGCAACACATAACAGCCAAGAGTACACCACCTTGGAAACGAACATGCCCATAACCATATCAGCTATAGACTGGATGTTACATCCCAGATTCTACCAAGGAGCGGAACGACGGTTTGGGAAGTTCACAGTAGATCTGTTTGCATCAGCACACAATACACACACAGATGAATACTACACCAAAGAACAGTATGCGCTACAAAAAAATCGAGCGCAGGAAGTGAATGCATGGGCGAATCCGCCATGGGAACTCATACCTGATGTCCTTGACAAAGTCATTGAAGAGGCAACCACCCTACTACCCCAATGCATCGTGGTTTCCAAAGTTCTTGTCTTTATTAGAAGAGGACCCGATGCTAGTGGAAAACACAAACAATACTTTCCTCAAAGAGGGCAAGAAGGATTGTGGCAAGACCCCATGGGGCGTCACACTAGTCACAAAAATAGGAGCTAAGTCTCCATACTTTGACTCAACGCGGGAACAACCTGCCATACACGTTGCAGCATCAGAACCAGTTCATTCTAGGGACGCACCACAGGCAACAGAGTATGAGACACGTGTCACCATCATCGAGCAATACCACAACCTGGGACATTACACTCCTGGGGAAACGGTACAAAAGTTGCAAGCAGATGAACATGATTGGCCTGATATCCAACAACATGTACATAAGTTCATTGACGGATGCATACCATGTCTCAAAAATAAGATACACAAAAAGGGATTTCACCCCTTACAATCAATCACAGCCGCATATCCAAGCGACAGGGTCCAAGTGGATACCATAGGTCCATTATTGGACTCCAATAGAGGACACACATATGTGTTAGTATGGCTCGACGTATACTAATCATACGTCATTTTACCTTCAAGGATGGACAAATCAGCGGCTACCATACATAGCACGCACGCTGGTACCAATTATGTGTGAACATAGATTCCCACAAATCATACAAACTGATCAAGGCACTGAATACGTTAACGAATTACTTGCAAAAGTTGTTGAACAAGCGCCAATGCAACACTTAGTCTCTCGGCCGTGTCAACCTAAAGTCTTAGGAGCGAACGAACGATCACATAGAGATCTCATGCTACTGCTACGGAAATTCGATGAACAGAATCCAGGTAACTGGTGTTTACGATTTCCATTCGTACAGATGGGCCATAATCTGCGTACATCCAGAAGACACAAGTCACCGCGCTATAATGTGTACTTTGGTCGCAGACAGAATCAACTCACGGACTACAATGAGCCAATGACCGCACCCAGTAGAACAGTATCTTAGGAAGAGCGACTGCAAAATCTAGCAGGCCACAACTCGATAATAATGTTGCACAGTATCAAGAGAAGATGCGCGCAGCATACGATCGAAAGTATCAAAAGAAGTATGTAAACTCCCAGGAAGGGGACCTTGTCATGGTTCGCTATCAAGGTGAAATGAATAAGTTAACGGCACCAAATGACGGACCATACAAAATAGTATGCAGGGAGGGCAATGGGTATTTTGTCTGTAACCTTGATGGGACTAAAGCCCCCGAATATCCTGACTCGATCAGTGATGAGCTACTTGGCCTCGTAAAAAGGGCCAGTGCTCCGAAAGCATTTACTTCCAACAATCACGTACAACCAAACGAAGAGACTCAGTTCTCCTTCATAGTCGAAGACAGGCCGTCCATCCGAGGGGATGGATCCCAGGAGTACCTACTGCATTGGACAGATGGTGAGCGTACCTGGACGCATGAATCAGACATCGCAGATGCTGATGTCATTACAACATACCGTCAACGCCGGAGACGTAAAAGAAGGATAACGAACACTGATGAAAGATCAGCGAGCCACAGACAGCGCACACGGCGGGGGACCTAAGCAAGTCTCACTGATACCACAGGATACTCCCACTTTTCTCGCCTAGAAGCATACTCTCCCCATACACCAGAGGGACAAGGACCAGAGACTCGGCTGTAGAGCCACCGTTGAGATGCGTTTTCTTAAGCCAAGTTGAGATCAACCGAGAGCACCGGACAAGACCGACTCCGATGAGCGTGGTAGAGAACTCCTGCTATAGTATAAATTTAATTAATCGGTAACATGTAAGAATAGATACTGGTGGCAAGTTTTTCATCTTATGCCCCTTAAGGGACAGGTTTTTCCCTGTATACAAACACCAACCTTTAGATAATCTAGTACTGTAAGATTTCACTGTCTACTCCTACGCAGGCTAAGAAGCATAAGTTGGGGGGCTGTAGCATCTAGGGACCAGATTATCAAAAGGCCAATCCAAAACCCAAAACCCAGAATAATCAAATACTGAGTTTTGGAATTAGGATTGTAATATTTTTGATATTAGAGTCATCAGATATATTAGCGGTAGAACCGGTAAGCTATACCGGGACTCTCGTGTGCGTGTAGAGAAACACTCAAGTAAATCTTGAGTCTAGTGAAACACAAATTAAGACTCAGTTCGGTTCTCTCACACTAGGGACTTTTCCTAGCTGAGATAACCGTACTTGAGAAGAGGTCTATTATATTCCTTTGTCTCGTATCCTTCAGCTACCCTCCATACACTACAGTCAAACCGAGTAGCGTTAAGTAGAGTATCAAGTTTGAATAAGTAAACTCAGTCAGAAGTGTCGTTAACGGCGCGCCTGCTGTATTTAGTAATCACGTTCTTATTTGGGGCGAGGTTTTCTCAACAACGGGTCGATTGTAAATACCCGTATTTATGGTTTTGTTCTCATAGTTCCTAAATTATGATGATGTCCGATGAGTCATCGATCTCTCCCTCTAATTCTACAAGATCCTCTAGTCTGGTCCTCTGGCCCAAAACTAGAATATCCTGCTAGGTCCGGTCTTCTGGTTCGATCTTTTGGTCCGGTCTTCTGGCCCGATCTTCTGGTCTGGTCCTAAATCTGCGCCTAGGTTACTTTGTCTACGTAGTGAGAGTGCAGTCACAATAGCTAAACGCAATTGTAGCACAGTTGAATAATCGATTTGGGACGAGTTCACAACTTTGCTAGAGAACTAACACGTACCTTGATTTCCCGATTTAGAGTTTTAGACCTCCGAGTACCATGGCGGATGCATCTGTTGCAATCATGAACGGTACTCCGACTCCTGTTGTAACAAAACTACGGGTGCCAGTTAAACCACTGTTTTGAGCTTCTTAAAATCATCGTCACAACAGACCTTGATTCATAAAGCTTCTGATTTGCATTTGTGACATTTTAAACCTCGAAAAGACATAAGGTAACTTGCTAAATGGAAAAGTCCATTCGACAAGTAATTGACGAAACCGCACATGCTGTTCACATCCAGTCCTGTCGTGGGTGTTATCAGTCTAGTAAGTGCTCGATTTTCCCCAGATCGATCATGATCCCGTCTCCCGATACATCGTATCCCAACAGCTGCATTTCGGTCACTCCGGAGTGACATTCCCTGCTGTTGATCTTGAACTTGTGTTCGTTATCCATGTTTCGAATTATTGCATGATAAATTGGAAGAACAACGGTGCAGTTAAAATATTACTGTTGTCCATCCTTGGTAAACGTAAAGTACTTCCTGCGTGGTTCGTATATATTCATATGGTGATAGTCTTGTTTTAGATCGATGGTGGGGGAAATCACAGCTCCCTCTATTCGTTCCGAGGTATGTGAAAATTGTGTGTTGGAATAAGCACATAAATCGGGCTCATATCTCATCAAACTCGTACTACCTTCAAGGTTCCATCAGAATTGAAATGTCCATGGCGAAGGGTAGAAGGGTTACTGGGGTGGCTTCCAACCGGGCCTTAGCTTGTCGTCTGACCATCTGTTTATGACCCCATCCGATATAGTTGCGAGTAGGACACTTGAGCTTCGAGAAATCTACATTTGGTCAGGTCTAAGCTCACACATCCATTGTTAAATGTGGGCATAGCCCAATCTGTCATTTTGATCTTATCATTTTCAAAAATACAATCCTTTGGCTTCTCTGGGAAATGAGGTATCATCTCTTTCACAGCTTTTGAAGGCTTTCATACACGCTTCAATAAGTAGTCGTCTGACTGATCTTTCTGTGGATCAATGTCCATGGGTAATACAGTAATGGATATACCTATCGATAACAATCCACTCAAGCCTACTTTCAAGTCATAGTCTGGTGATGTAATACAGATGACAGCCTTCGTGGCAACACCTTTGCGACAATCGACCGTGTAGGTTCTTATTTACGCATATAAGTTATCTTACAGAAACGTGATGATATACTTGAAATTTGCAAGCCCGGATCCAAAAACGCTTTCATTCCATGTTCAGTACCTCGTACATCAAGAATGACGCGCTCGTCATGCGGCGCATTTTTTTGTCTTAGTGACAAGACCCGGTATATTTAACGACTGTATGTGCTCTCTAATACCAGTACAATTAATACACTTCTCAATGAAATATTCATATTTCTCTGCGCGTCTACCGTTTCATCTACCATTTGGTTAATGTTGGCTTCCTTTGTTTCCCTTGTATTGGCCTATTGTAGAATGAGAGTTTGGATCGACAAATGATTTTTCATTTGCATTAGACACAATCTTCTTATGAGATTAGGCAACTTTTACCACGTAACTCAGACGCTTCGCGAAGGTCAGGTCTGATCACGATTAAAACTCAGCCATGTCCGGTCGGATTTACGTAGGTTCTTCAATTAAGATATCGCGAACCTTGCCTGGGTGAGATTGGTGTATATTTGCATACAGTACCTCTTGATCCCTCCGGTGAAGGTTGTACTAAAATATAGTTTGTACCCAAAGCACACACATGTTCGAACTGCCCTCGGTCATGTCCTTAGTTTGAGCATGCAATAATTGTGTATCTAACGCCAATAAGTAGTAAGACACTGACGTTCCTTGCTCCGGAGGGATCAAAATAGACAGGGATCAAAATAGACGCCAATTACTCTGGTCGAGGCTCCATCGAAAATAATGGGACGATCATCTCGCTTTGCTGTTTCCATGTCTTTGGTTGCGTCATAGTAGCCATCGACCTTTCCAACTTATATAAGTACAATGAGGACGCCTAAAGCTCCGCCTTGCTGTATCAAACCAAATGCTCTTGCGGAGGTTTGCGGTAAAAATGATTTGACCAAACTCATTTAAATTTTTAGACTGACTTGTCAAACTACTTATATCGATAGGCTATTGCCTGTCCTTTCGATCCGGGCGATATGTAGTGACGAACTTTTTGCTACCTAAAGTCTTCTCGGTCTGGATCGAGCGCAACTCAGAAACTGTTAGACTGGAGAAGTTTTGTTATAGATAGCATCCATAGCTGTAGTGACATCAGCTTCTGCGCGTTCCAGACGAGCTGTAAAGCCTGAAATCCTTCATTCACTTATCACAGGTTCGGATTCTAAAAGCTCTAGTTGTTGCTGTCCATGCAGCAGCTTATCCTTTTCGACATCAGAACATCTTGGGGATCTTGGGGTAGCCAAGGAACTCCATGAAGTAGCAATTAATGACTGTAGGACAATAGGTGGGGGTGGCGGGGTCAGTAGCTGTCTCGGCAAGTCGGGGTAGACATTTGTCTCCGGCTCAGGCTCAGGCTTAAGAATATCTCCTTCAGGTGCCATCGGAGATCTATCCTCCTGTAGCATGTTTTAGTGGCCAGGCTATTCAGAACTCATTGATTGAAGTATTGACGGGTCATCTCGATCGGTCCTCAACTTATAAGCCAGAATCGCGTGATTCAACACCAGTGCATCAGATATCAATGGTGAAAAACCAATTTAGTATTCTCTAATAGATTATCACACCAGATTCGAAAAGCTTTTATCACGATTTTTTCGCAAACACCTCAGGTAGGCGTCGCTTAAGTTAGCGAAAAACGTTCATGTGTTTTTCGTTTACCTACGTTGAGCAATACTTCTCATTCCGAAATATCCTGTATATTACATTATATATAATGTATAACACAACAATTGTCGCTATCTACACAACATTCATACAGTTATTGTTCTTTGATATGGTACTTACACGTGGCGCCAACTACAATGTATAATTTGAAGTACACTTTCTATCTTCCCATATGTGACCCAAAACCCTATATAGGGCTTTTGTATGCTCATACTCTATTCAGTGTCCCGTAACATCTCCACACATATTTCGGTTAGCGACACTAACAATACGTACCCCTACATCTGTTTTACACAGTTTATTTAATTTTTTTTTGCCCACAAGAGTATCACTAGTAAAATTCATGCGCCATACTCTCCTACTTATCTTTCGCATCACTTAGTCACACTTGCACTGTGTATTAAACACCATACTATTATCTTTACTACTACCATCTTTCGTGCATGTCCTGATATAGGGTTCCACACACACAGTTCTTTATTCAAGATTCGTATACATAAAAATGTACATCCTGTTCAATGCATGATTGTATTTCGCAATAAGCATAGAAGCCGTACATATTCACACTGATTCCATAGCACAGTTTATACAAATAACAGTGTTTACTCTACTTCCTACGATCTATAATGATTTCTTTAACTTTCAAACGCAAACTGTGCCTTCTTGGAAAGCCAAATTAAAATGTCAGACTCAGGACCATAAAAGTGAATCCAAATACTCTGGCTGTTGCTTATGTAATTCAGTATAGATACAACACTCTCTGTTCGAAGGGAGCGAGCAGATTGGCTTAGTTATTGCAATCACAAACATTTCAGAAGGTACTATCTGGATCACTGCCTCATAGGTAGCTATAGTTAGCAACCTGCTGAATGTTCCTAAAATGAAATTCGTACGTGGTTATGGTAAGGCTTTAACGATCAAACCCCCTCCCATGTGCTGCAATTCCTTACGTGTATGACAAACTAGTCGCCATCGCGTAAGTGATCGTTGCCTCTACTGGGAACATTTTCCTATATCCCCTTCCTGACGAATGTTCAGGCCATGATAGAATCTATTGTCAAATATGAACTTATTATCTTGAATGGTGAAAATTGCAGCTATCTCCGCCAGGACAACAATTTCTTGTCCAAGTCTCGGGCCACCTTTTCATCATTGACAAGCAACACACATGGCTCAGAAGCCTGGATTTGAATCTGGTGTCTTGGTGATCGCAAGTTTGCTATTCCCACATGTGGACTTGTCGAACGATTCCGAATATGATCCCCTTGCCTGTTCTCAGGTAAGTACCTCTTTTTCTATTGGTTTCTCTGACCAGTCTGAAGGCAACGCTCCTTCCATCAACATCAACGGTGCCCCCCACAGCCTCCCTGTCCTCAAAAGGGAGTCTGCGGACACTAGAAACCCATTTCGTGACTCTTCCTGTGCTGAGCCGCATCGCCAGTCCAATGTCGTAACACAACATGATCACGATCCGGATTTCACCCTTGATGTCCCGCGAAAACATCCCCCCTATTAAAACAATTATATATGAATGTTTATTATATTTACTCTATTCACCATACGTCATTTCCGCATCTTGTCATACCAATCATACAGTGCCTATTTTAGATACACGATTTAACTTATATTCCGTCTCAATGGTTACTTAATACAAATAATACATTCAACCAACCCATCTAGCGACTCATACTCCTATCCGTCCAATCGGACGTAATGTATATGATGGTTCCAGTTCATGTTTTTTGTTCTAAATATTTTGTCATGTTCTTGTTCTAAATATTTTATCATGTATCAAACAACATATCTCAAAAATTCCTATTCTTCAGCTTATTCTTTAGTTTTGTTTTTAAATAAACATGCATTATTTTTCAGTCTTTTCTCTATATCGCCCTTTCTTCCAACCCTTTAGTCCTCCGCATACAGTACGGAGCTGAATACATTGAATTCCGCTTTATTGACCACACTCTGTCAAATATCACTACGTTTATATGGTACTTCAGCCCCAGCGTATAAACACGTGCAAGTGAAATGTAAACGTGCACAGTTTTGATATTTTTAAACCGTTATAACATATAACCGTTTTAACATGTAAAGGGTTAAGAAAGGTTCCAGCCTTCTATATTGTACCCTCGCCAAACACGGGACCAAATCAAAGTAAACATTGAAAGTAAATGACCTATAGCCTTCCAAGATATAACAGTAATACAGTATATGCAAAAGCTCGGTTATGTGTTTATTCTAGATCAAGAAAAACTATTTTTTGTCACTTCGACGAGGTCATGAACCTATAGGGGAAAATAAATTACGCTCCGACGACCATGGAGAGCTAGGGGTAAAAACGATAAGGATTGGTTGTGGACAATCATAGTGGTCTGTTTTTTTTTGGGCAAGTGATTCCCCGATCTATCAGAATCGGCTCGACGGGACGATGCCTGAGAATTCGGAATATCCTTCGTTTGTCTATAAGTTTTGTGTGTGCAAGTGTGTTCTCCAGTTTTGTGGCATGGGAGTACTAAGTATAAACGTTCCAAATATTGAGCATTGCTCATTTTAGACATAAATATGGACATCAATATGGGCTAGATATGTACCACAAATTCTTCACTGGTCCTCCGTTAATTCGGTATGATGAATGCGATGCGATCAAATGATTTTGGTACAGCTTTTTTTAAAATTTTTATTTTGATGAGAGTAATTTATCCCAAAAGATTGTGTAGGATAGTACAGTGCAGTGCATCAAAGCCATTGAAGCTTTAGCCAAACTTCAATTTAAAAGTTCCTTCTAAAAATCATGTTTAGCAACAATTTTCGACAACATCATGCACCAGCTCCCTTTCTCCCGATTTAAAATTATGGAAAATACCATACAGCGTGGAAGCTTCTAACAGGTCCTATACGTGGATCCAATCCTATGTATGCTCATTCTCTCTTCGCCCGATAGCTGCCGTTTTTCTTTACACTATACCTCCGCCAAGGACGAAGAAACGCAAAGCAGTGAGCTATACCATGTGGTAAATATATGACATCGACAACTCGAATAAATAAAAGTTTAATTATATTAAGCTCTGTAGACCACATCATCTATCAACCACTTCCACTTCGGTGGCTGACTCAGACTTTTGCTGTTTTGATCCCAGCGCGCGTTTCATGATCTTTCGAGGGCCTTTAACAACTGGTTCCGAAACCATATTATATATCATCAGCCCAGCGACGGACAGCACGAAACACAAGGCATATATCCACGTGAATATCACATCGAACAAGAAGATACCGGCGAAGACTGAGTAGAAGTCCGCGGTGAGCAGAGACAAATTGAGCACAGTCGATGAACTGCGGCGAATCATCACTGAGAAAGCAGAAAAGAATAATTGAGTGCAAGAAAGCATATAATGTGCTGCATACTGTGTTATAAAAAGGCAGTGTATAGTAGATCAGATGGGTGCAGCATGCGATTAAAGTAAGCGCTAGTGTTTATCAGTATCTCTGAGCCCAATTTTCGTGTGACACTCACACAATTGAACTGTCACTCAGTCACTTGGCCGAGCTACAACAATAGCAATAATAATCCCGTAGTAATATGCTAAGTACATGATGACCATGACATGTTAGTCTAACACTGAGAGTACACTATGATTATTTTTCAGTATTGCGTCATCTATTCCCGTCTATTCAAATTTAGCTTTACTCGATAGGGCGACATATTTTAATTTACTCGTCACACTGGGTGCAGACAACCAGATAATCTAGTCAGCACTAATAAGCAAGTACAATCGAACGCTTTCCACAGCAATTGTGTACAAGAATGACGAATACTCTTATTGAGCTGTAGATTAATATAAGTTTGTAACATACCCGGCACCAGTGAATAGAATACGAGCATGGAGGCTACGAAGCCTGCGAATTGCCAATACACATCATTATCCCAAGTCACGGCTTGGACACTATCGACGCCTTCGATAATGAAAAACTGGATAGTGGCAATCACCACGCCAAACAAGGCTGCAATTGAATCAAGAACCATAAATAAAGTAAGATATTCCACTGTAGTCGTGAGATAATAGAGTACTGTTGCCAACAGTGACAGTAACCCGAAATTGAGATATCATGAGAGATATACAAGCATACTACTATAGGCTACGCTTAAGTGAAAGGGTACTGCTAAGCACAATGCCCATGTGCACCGAGCTGTCAAATACGAGCAAGAGACCATCTTCATTCTTGCTGTGGTACGTGCTTCACGTATATTGTGCTAATCGACTATTACTGCGATGATGATATTCGAAAATCCATGTAGATATGTATATGACTTCGATGTACAAACAAATATGTATATCTAACAATAGAGCGAATACCAAATATCAGCAAAGAGTCTCTCAACATAATAGTGTTCCCTTTCCGAATCCCGCGTGTAGAGTTTGAACAAACCGCCACATTTGCCGCCACATATAGGGGCAGGTTGCCAATATGCTAACACGGTCACGGTCAGTTTCGCAGCTCAATGGTCTCATCGGGATACAATTCACATGTAGTACATAAAGGTGTGTAAGTCATGTAAGCCATACAAAGCTTTCACGGTCACCAAATATCGTCATCAAATATCCTTATGAAGAATTTGGTCCTTGCGATAAGCATGTATACTCAAAAATATGCATATACACGGATTAGATATCTAAGAACATCAACTCTCACATACAAAGCATCGACACCCATTCAGCAACAGGCACGTCGCCCTTGACCAAGAACTCCTGCGAAATATTAGAGACCGCGTACAGAATAGCGGATGCTATCACCAGCAAATCTCCTAAAACCGGGTTTTCGGCCGGAGAATCTCCGTACTTTCGGGAACAAAAAGAGGGACATCAGTGAGCACAGGATTGAATGGCCGTGGTCAATATATACCAAGCGCACTCTTATAAAGTCGCTATGTGAGACTGTGTGAATGCGAAAACTGAACTATTGAGGGGAGTGAATCGTTCTCATGTGCAGAGTATGCGGTCAACTCACCTTGAAGTAGTCGTGCACAACAAGACTGATGATGCCGGCCACAGCCACCATAGCTCCCACGTAGTGCCACAATCGGTATGTAACGTTGAGAAAGACGATCGACAGCACCATCACACACGGTACCACGAAGTTATCCAACAGCTGCACACTGCAATGGAAAACAACACAAGAGCAAGTAAGGCCCACGTCGATCAAGTTATGGTTTGGGATGAACTCAGGGATTGGAACGTTGCAGTACTACGACCGATTATATGGATTGGTAACCATATACACAGGCTTACAATGTGGTTAGTATAGGATATACGCTGGTGAGAATACCGTTAATTTGTGTGTATGTGTTGTTGTTCGGGCAGCCATCGGAAGGTACTGGCTAGGTAGCTCACTGGAAGTGCTAGTCCATAAAGCACCCAAACTTTATTCAGGGTGGTAAACGGCACACGGCATAGCACATGCGCAAAAAGAGTCCACCAACTGAATACGACCGTCGGAACATTGTGATATATGCTGAAAACTGAACTACAAAATGGGGGAGAAGAGGGCAGAACATCTGAAACAACCACACACCTCGTGATAGACACATACTGATACGCTTCTATGACCATGGAATTGGCTTGAAGACAACCACATACCTTGTGATAGATGCATACTGATATGCTTTTACGACCATAAAATTGGCTTCCACATCGATAAAAGCCAGAATAAGGTACTTAAGCCAACCCCAATTGCCCATACGGAATCGCATGCCTCTCCACCCCTCTCCATAAAATAGAGCTACTGGCGTCCAGACCACCGCCAGTGTGAGATAAGTCAACACACCCTGCAGATTGGTACGGTATGGTTGAGGATATACAGTGCGCAGTTGACGTTTCGAATACATAGAGATATATGAATATGTGGATTTATGTCTATATTATTGATACACAGACATAAATGAATGTGTGAATGTCTGCCTATATTATTAATACATAGGTATATATGAATATGTGGATTTATGTCTATATTATTGATACACAGACATAGATGAATGTGTGAATGTCTGCCTATATTATTAATACATAGGTATATATGAATATGTGGATGTCTGTCTATATTATTGATACATAGACATAAATGGAATGTCTGCTTATATTATTGATACATAGACATATATGAATATGTGGATGTCTGTCTATGTTATTGATACATAGACATAAATAGATATGTGAATGTCTGCCTATATTATTGATACATAAGACATATAGAAATATGTGGATGTCTGTCTATATCATTGATAAAGAGACATATATGAATATGTGAATGTCTGTTTATAGTTATTCTTGTGCATGGGTCTCTCCGTCGACGCTAACAATAGCCAGCAAAGAGAGCTGTCCACTTTACCGGCAGTGAGGACAAGTGTGATGACCTTGTGATACAACGTAAGCACTGGAAGCTTGGAGTAAACAGACCACAGGCAAATATACTCCCACAGGTGAAGCCGAAAGTAATCCAGGTGTAAATACCGAACAGAGCAAACTCACCTGGAATTGCGGCAGATCGACGCCATAATCCGCTAGATAGGACGAAGTGATACCAGTGCACAATATACAGAGAGACAGCAATTGGCCCAATGCAAGGGTTAACCCCAATTGTAGATAGTCGCGTTTTACTGGCACATGCTCTGTTTCTTCCGCAACCGCTTCGTCATCTACGGCTAAAGAAGATGTATCATATGATTACGAGTGAACAAATATGTCCACAAATGAATATATAGGCTTATGGAATCATACTAAGCATCTTATCATACATTCAAGCAAACACAAAAAAACATGTATCTGAATACATGCGAATATAGCGTAAATATCCATATATCCATAGATGTATATATATATATATATATGTACAATATATAAAAATACAACTAGATAAATATACATGTACATACATATACATATGCGTATCCATATGTATCTATATATAAATATACATTTATATATACATACGTGAATATGTATGTATATATTTCAGCACACAAACACACACACACACACACATATATATATATACGACATGTACAACATATATATATATATATATACATATATACCGAATATATATACATATATACGTGTATATATATATATATATAAATATACATATAAGATACATATATGTATGGTCATGAAAAATGTATTTGTATAGCTATTTTAAATAAATATAAATTATATATATATATATAAATATATATATCCATACATATATATATGTATATATATATATATATAGAGAGAGATATACATACATATATACAGATATATGTGTGTGCATGTAAGTATATATATATATATATATTATAAATATATATGCATATATATACATATACATACATATATGCATATATATATACATATACATACAAATATGCATATATATATATATACAAGGTTCTACATGTATTGGAAGGTCCCTGCCGCCATTGAAAAGCACAGCGACCATGCAATACACACCAGAAATAGTTGAGGAAAAATCGCTTCAGTATAAATGTATTGATGTGTGCCTGTGCATATATATATATATATATATATATATATATATATATATATATGTCTGCATATATATATATATATATATATATATATATATATATGTATATATATATATAATCATACATGTATACATATTATATATATATATATATAGCCATATTATATAGGTATGTATATGTTGATATAAATTCATATATACATATATAATTGCATTCATAATATACATTGAAACACACACACGCACACACACACACACATATATATATACATATACATACACTTACATATACACACACACACACACACCCACCACACACACACACACATATATATATATGGGTGTGTGAATGTGAGTGCATGCGTGCATATGTATGGATGTATGTATAATAGACATACATACACGCACACACGCATAGATATATATAGATGTAATCAATACAAAAGTTATAAATATAATATATAATAATATATAATAATATATATATATAAATATATATATATATATGTATACATATACACATACGGGCTTGTGCGTTTATATACATATACATATACATATACGGGCTTGTGCGTTTTATATATATATATATATATATATATACATATATATGTATATATATATATATATATATATATATGTATATATATATATATATATATATATATATATATATATATATATATATATATATATATATATATATATATGTGTAAGTGTGTGTGAGTGAGTGCGCGTGTGTGTTTGTGTGTGTGTATGTGTGTATTTGGATGTGTGTGTTCTATGTGGATGGTTGTGTGTATGCATGTCAATTCAATTATCTGCATTTGGATATGTGTACCAACAGCCCTTTCCGCCTGCTTTTCAAGTACATACCTAAACTTGTTTCGTTCAGATCGAGTGTATCTTTTGGCGATATCGGCCCTTTACCATCGTCGTCTTTTGAACTTGTGCCAAGGTCTGTCTGGTCTAGTTCTTCCCGAGGCTCAACCTGTGATGCGGAGGACATAGACCCCCGCGCCATGTACGTATTGGAGGCGTTTGGCATTGTACGAGATTACACCTACGTGAACTGTACGTATTTAGCAGTATACTCATGGAAGGCTTTCAGCGGCGGCTCGTTATGTTTCCGTGTAAATTAATACGGTGTTAGCCAAAGCCGTATAGCATCATGGAACCTTTTTTGACTACCCACGCTAGTAGAATAATGATAGGGGAATCAAATAATAACCGCCAGGTACCAGGCTACCAGCCCACCACACGCAGGAACACAGTGGCACCACCCTTCAGTTCTTTACAGTCACTGATGAGGCCTGAGGGCTGAGGCCTGAGGTTCTGAACCACAAATTTAACTAAAAAAACAACATATTAGCTCCCTTTTGTATTAATTTAAAGGCTATGAATGATATTTTATCATTTTATGTGGGTATGCACCAATTAGCAGGAAAACACGCGTGGAATACGATCACTATTTAGTTTACTACTCATATATATGGTCCTAATTTGTCAGTACCCATGGCATTTATTTTTGACTTTATTTCTACAAAAGCAATAATCAAGAAAAAAAGGTTTGTTATATGCCCCGGGGGGAGCCTGCGAGGCTATTTATAAATGTATGCTTAAACAAAATTTTATTAAAAAAAGAAGGAATTTTTACAAAACAAATATCAAACAAAGGTTTGTTAAATTTGTTTGGACAGTTTTGATTTTATCTACTTCTCTCCTTTTTTTCTTCTTTTCAGATTTCATTTTTTGTGTGTGGGGGTGCCTGACTGCCTGGGAAAGGCTCGGGTCTAGTACTACTAAATAGTAAAAACTACTCAGTAGAAAAAAATCTAAAATTGTAAAAGTTCCTGCAGAGTGCGGGACTGCGATTGCGGGTTGTGTTGGGCTTTTGAGGTTTTGAAGTTCTGGGCTTCTGGCTGGTATGTAATTGGTATCATTTTCCGACTCCCGAGTCTGCACTCTCGTGTTTTTTAATATTTTTTAGAAGGCTACAACTGTCGGAGTCTCGGGCCTCGGCACTATGCACTCTATCGACACAAAAATCGCCAAGAAAAAAAAAGAAGGTATTTTTGTTACATAAAACAAATAGTACGCCGTACTATGTAAATACGTAAAAAGTGGCCGGACAGACTAAAAACAGAGAACATGTACACTCGTACAGTACATACATGTTTTTTTTTGGTATAAAAAAAATCGATGTGTCGTGTGTCGTATATTTATTTATGTATTTAACACGTACTTGATACATACCTCAAGAAAGTCTCAGTAGCCAGTAATCAAATTGTACTTTTAAATCGAGATCCTTTTTCAGACCTGGGTTGGATATCGTCGTTAATTTGTTTCTTTATAAAAAACTAACAAACACTATATTTCGGCGACTTGTCACTTGCCAGTTGTCACTTTTGAGTAGTGTCAGTTGTTATTTACGGTTGTCGGCAATGTCGGGACATGATACTAGATAGCGATACCAGCCAGAAGTCAACAAGAGCAGGCAAGGAAGGAAATCCAAAATGAAATCTGAACGACGCCTGTGTCTCTTTGAGTGTGAACTCAGAACTGTGAATTGTGAAGTGTGATCAACACAAGACAACAAGACAACACATGAAGTGTGTACTGTGAACCTGTTTGGATCGATTTAAAAAACAAAAACAAAAAAACAATGTGAAGATTTCGAGGGACTATCTGTACATTTTATTGTTGTTTTATTCAAAAAGACAACAACAACTAAAACTTTCTTTTTGTATTTACAAAACATGGGAGTTCCTACTTCCTGTAAATACTCTCTAAATAATAAATAGAGAGAGTAGCGAACGTTCCTACTCTACTTAGGATATTTTTAAAGTGAGTGAGCCCTAGATATATTTCTTAAAAAACAAACAAACAAACACCCCAAGCCCCAAGGTCCCACCAAAGTCCTAAATTGAGAGTCGGAGTCCCCCTGGCCCCTGCGGCCCTGCCCCATTGGCCAGTGGCCAGTGCCCCTGGCCAGGCCCCCAAGCCCCCAGTCTCCAGACCCAGGGGCCAGGGGCTAGGGCCCAAGCCCCAAGGTCGAACTGCACCCTTTTATTTATGACGCGAGTCCTGTGACTGAGTTTTAAGGATTTTAAGGGTTTGGCTTTAGGTATCTAAAACACCCTTCTCCCCCCCCCCCCCCCCCCCTTCTCTCCCTTTACGACATCTGAGTTCTGAAATCTGAGGGCATGATGAGGCCTGAGGCCTGACTCCGAGTGAGGATCAGGGCAGGCTGTTGGAACTTGGGAGTTAAAAGTTAAAAGTTAAAAGTTGGAAGTTGGGACTTGGGAGTTGGAAGTTGGGAGTTTCAAACTGATGTATATATCTACTAGCCCCTAGAAAGAGTTGCAGTATTTGGGCAGTTAAAAATAAAAGCACACAAAGGTTAAAACATTAAAAAAAAAAGGTTTAGAACACGTCAACACTCAGGCGGACACCGTGACTCCGTGAGGCGTGACCGCGTGAGGTGAGCGGTGAAACGTGAGTCCGACCGCCGACGTAGTATGTTGCCTTGATGCCTTCAGGCTTCTCTGAGAGTAGAGAGCCTTCTGCAGCATATGTAGAGAGTAGATACAGGGGAGAGAGAGAGAGAGAGAGAGAGAGATGTCAGATGAGAGAGAGAGAGAGAGAGAGAGAGATGTCAGATGAGAGAGAGAAAAGAAAATTTATGATTTTATCCCTATTTGCCGATAATTATTACTTATGTAACTGATATTGACTCATGAGCGTGGACTCCGTTAAGCCGTCAGCCGTGGACAGAGTATTTTAGGGTCCAGGGCCAAGGGCGTTACATACTCTTCTCTCTCTCTCTCTCGCTCTCTTTATGAGTATAGGGTCTCAAGCAGACTATTAAGCACACGCTGCCAGTGCCTCTTCTAGTAGAGTCCTCTCTAGCAGTGCCTACTACTTGCCTACCACCTACACAACCTCGTCTACCACTTGTGTGTCAGACTTGTATCTGTCTGCCCTGGCAATTATGCTTTTAGAAATAAAAGGACCACTACACACCATCGTTGGAGTATGCTTTGTACACAGTACAAATAAATGGTCGGAAATATGGATAAAAACAGTCGTGCCCTCTTAGAGAGTGTTTCTGCTATCTTGTCCTTTCCAGAAGGTAGAATACCCGCTGCGAAGGGGCAAGACAAATGGACGCAATTGGCAGTCTTGCAAACCGGGACGCATGAAGTTACAATCTTGGCAGAAAGCCATAGCGAGTACTATTTTCAAAATTATTTGTTATCAGACAGAGAACCAGTAAGCAATATTTAAATGTTGACTTTATTTACAATACAGTACCAGTCGAACCTGACATATAAGTGGATACTCTATGTGCTGCTGCAATGTCTGGTTGATATCGATCTCGTGTATTCTTTCGTTTGTCATTTTTTATAGTTGTTGTTTTGTCCATCATACAGTGACAACTTTTGTACGATCTATACTTTATTCAAAACTTTATTTCGTCATGATGGCAGTTTGAGTAATTCTGTAAGTGTACTCGTATGTACTCTCAAGTTCACTGGTCCGATTTTGACGAGTCCATGACATGTACCTATTTTTAACAATCTAATAGATATTTTGAGTCAGCAGTACATAACATACATAGCATTGTTTCTTAAAAAAATGTGCCAGAGAGGTTGGTACTTGGTAGTACGATTATTTAATAAGATATTTGGCTGCGACTGGTTTTGAAAATGAAAGTAAAGGAACGAAAACTCGAACCCATTTTAAAGACTCGCCCTTATAAACATAGCCCATGGTATAAGAGTTTAGAAGGCTACATATGATGTACTGATACATTCACATAGCCGTAAACTATATTTTGAACTGGTATGTATTTATGTATAATCTTCATACATATTTGTCACCAGCTGCCAGAGTGAGGCCAGACTGGCATCTCGAACTCTCGACTCTCTCGAGACTCAAGAGTCCAAACTCACTCTCTTCTTGGTAAGCTCATAACAAAGTAGATTTTGAATGCATGTGTCGTGTGGTTATCGCCCCCATATGATTGTGCACTATTTTAGATCTTATCGAATAACAAAAGCACTATAGTTCATTTTAGATCCAATTAAAGTCTATCTTTAAAATCCAGAGTCTAAAGTGGTAAAAGGCATATCGCTCTATTTATCACAGAAGTTTAGTCTAATATTATTGGTTCGTTATTGTGTTTCATTCCACTAAAGAAAGATGAATAGAATTAAAGCCTACGTTTGATTGAGTTACATCTCATCATATTGGTAGATCGAAAGGCCAAAAAATTGAAAAAGGGACGAACCCCCAAGATTTGTTCAATCAAAAGCTTCACACATAGATTCACCTGATAAGCGATTCTTTCCGTAGGAACGCCAGCTGGGACTGGAACTATCAGGCTGCTCAGCTACCCCATCGATAATCGAAAACCCCAACCACTTTGCAAAGGGTATACAAACAAGTTGGCGAGTGACTTGTACTTCTCACCTCGGAACTCGTTCTTCGTATGCGCGCACGCATTCTCTAGTCGATAGTACACGCACGTGTATGTTCTATTCGGTTGATTAGAAGCCACGTATTGTGCATATCATCTACTACACATACATAGCTAAGTACTGCCCACGAAGTATGCGCAGTATAATTCTAGATTAGTTGTATCAGTTATCACACTGTGGGCATTTGGCAGAAGTTCAATAACGGTCACCTCGGAACCGTGGATTGCTTCAATCCGCACAATCGAGACCCTACAGTGAATACCGTATAGAGAAACTGCATAGAACAAGATACACCACATAAGTTATTGAAAGAAACAAAGCATTATGTCGTTTCTGTATATCGTGACTATTCCTTGTGGCGTACGTCTGCAGACGTCCGGTACAGTATATGAGCTGAACGATACAATAAATCCGAATATGGGCAGGCAGTCTCACTCCAGTAAGCCTATGTTTGGTATGCAAGGCTCAATGACTTCTTGCATCAAAGAAGAGAATGAAGACTCAAGCTTATACGACGAAGTAGTTATTGACGTACCTGTGATACAGACTACCATCAATGTGGATAGTGACGTAGATAGTGTCACGACAGGAGGAAGACCGTAAGTAAAACGATTTTATTAATATGGGCTTTAATTTATATATACCCTCAATAGATTTCAATAGTGCTTGATTTAAACGCAAGTGTACGCCTAAGTGATTCCAGTGAAAGTCTTATCATATTCTACTGTCTTGGTTGGCTTTCGTCTTTATTCATAGAATGTTTATCTAGTAGAGCTCAATGTTGGTCAAAGTGTATCTATATGCGTCATCAAAACATACATAGTGTATACAGTCATCGAAATATAGTGTTTAATGGTGTTTTAAACATATATAGTGTATACAGTCATCGAAACACAGTGTTCAATGGTGTTTTGTATCTATATGAACGTTATGTTTGAACTGCATATATAGTTATCTATTTAGCTGTTCTGTATGCATATAAACACGTTTTGTATACAGTTGTTTCTCAATCGTATTATCTATACGAGTCCCTTGTCAATCCTATACGAAAAATAAATCTCACACTCGGAGAGACTTGCACAGTTCTTCCATATTTTGATGAGGATGTTTCAAATAAGACACACATACGAGTGTACAGAAGTATAGAATCACATAGATTCTGCTCGTACACATCATTGCTTGTACATGTCGTTTTATTGATCACTTGGATAAACGTATCCTAGTTTGGATGATCAAGTACGAATATAAAGTTTTCTGTCTAGGTTACGAAAACTCGAGTAATCATTTATGTATGTATACCGTATTTCTTTTATTGCTGGTGTCAGTGTTTAGAATCATTTTGTGATTTCATTTTCGTTGATGGGCTCATTTATCAATATAATAAACATCAAAACACCTGTAGATTTGTATACGCCCACGATATGCGTAATACGTATACTTATTTTTGCTTCAAATATGCTTGTTTACGGAGCGTGGCACGCAGACATATTTACATGTAGGTGCACAAATCCCTCCAGTCTTAGCTCTGAACTGCGTTTAAATTTGGACCGTAGATCATAAAAGTTGTTCTGCGATGTGTTGTATGTATGCTTTTTCAGTCTAATCATATATATACACACACTTATATATATATAATATATATATATATATATATATATATATATATATATATATATACGCACACACACATACACATGTATATATAGATATATACACACACTTGTATATATACACGCACACACACACACACATATATATAGCTATATATATATATATGTATATACACACACACACACACACACACACACACACACACACACACATATATATATATAGGTGTTGCTACGTATCACATATCCGTAAATTATGAGTACTCAAACAACTATTGACTAATGAAACAGTAATACTTCACATTTGTACGAATGTTGTTTAATCCAACACATACAAACCCCTTTGGTAATTCACGATTGTACGAATATTGTTTTGTTTCGATAATCTAACTCTTTTGTATATACAGGTATCCATGATTAGTAACAATTATTTTCCCTATTCCTTGAATGCAATGTTTAGTATGTGAATTCTTGACCTAAATCCTAATCCGAGTACTCGTCAGCACACACACACATGCATAGTATAGGTGCTTACTATTTAGGACTTCTCAGCACATACACATGCATAGTGTAGATGCTCACCAATTGATTGTCTACCGTGTCGGGCAGCTCTATGATTGAAGTAGAGAGGCAAATGCAGGGCCTGTTTACGCCATCTGTCAAGTCGGACTTAGCGGAGGATGCACCTCCGAGCACAGAAGAGACCAAGAAGAAAGCGGTACGCATGGCATCGGAAGTTTTACGACAACAAGAGGAGAGCAGTCGCCAGAAGCGGAAAAACTCGGGTTTTGAGGTGAGTTGCAAATGACTAAATGCGGGAGGGACAATCTCAGGATTGGATGTGCGTAGAAAATATGAGATGGTAGCCTGGGCGTGTGCTCAATATGTTAACCCAAGCTAAAGGCAGTGTACCATAATGCGGGAATATGCGACTCTGACTGGACGGACCAGGTATTCCTTGCCTCGTTGCAGAATATTAAGCAGCGTCTCATATTAAGGACATTTATATAAGGACATATCATTCCACTATATACTATCGTCTTTCAGAGTATCATGCTCACGAGCACGTGCGTGAAATTCTGTTTTATATTGTTTTGTTATATATAACATTCAACAGGTCGACGTGAGCGAATTGCTGAACGATGTGCTCAATGACTTGAAAATAACGGCCACTTGGGTGCAAGGGCTGAAAGGAAAGAAGTACATCGCGCAATTCCCTTGCGATGCCAACAAGTATGTGTGTGTGTCTGTTTGTATAGCTTTACACAGATCTTCTTTATATATATACACACACACACACACACACACACACACACACACACACACACACACACACACAACAACTAACTAACTAACTAACTAACTAACTAACTAACTAACTAACTAACTAACTAACTAACTAACTTAACAACTAATAACAATAACTAACTAACTAATA